CTACTACTACTACTACCACTACTACTACTACCACTACTACTACTGCTACTACTACCACTACTATTACTGCTACTACTACTGCTACTACTACTACTACTACTACTACTCCTACTACTACAACTACTACTGCTACTACTACGACGACAACTACTACTACTACTACTACTACTACCACTACTACTACTACTACTACTACTACTACTACTACTACGACAACAACAACGACGACGATTACTAATTATTCCTAGTACTATTGCGATTACAAACACTATTCCGAATACTAGTAGTAGGCAGCAGTAGCAGCAGCAGCAGCAGCGGCAGTAGCAGCGCGAGTGCAAATGGGAACATAATCTAGCCAACATCATTGTAACCACTATCACACTACCACCAGCCAAAACAATAATGAGGGTCAAGCCCATCATTGACCTTCTGCTTGATCTTCATCTGTGCCACCACCAAAAGCAGCATCATCACCAGCATCATGTTTGTCGATACCGCAATCGCAATCACATTCCAAGCGCAAAACGCTCATTCGGCACCCACTCGCACCTCTTTGAGAGCCGGGCTTCCCACCGGATGTGCGAAAGTGGGGAGGAATTTGGAAAGCTGAGCCCGGATGTCACGAAGCTAGGAGTCTAAGAGAACCTTCAAGATGCGGCATGGGTAAACGCAGGGGCGGGTACTACTCAATCCTCAATCTCGATAATTACATCTACAGGTTGCTTGACAATTGTAAGAGTCTTATAGTCCGCATAAGCGCTCCAGTGCCAGTTCAAACCGTTGTCGCTATAAGTCTGATGTATAGAACTCGTCAAGTCTGCATGATCCACTCTTCATCTTCGCTTACGACGCTGCCTAGTGGGACATCTTTTTGCGCTCATGCCGCAGGCTCTGCAGGAAGCTCAGGCAGCTTAGGGAGCTCAGGGAGCTCAGGGAGTTCAGGGAGCTTCGGGAGCTCAGGTGGCGCCTGGGAAGCAAGGATGGCAGCGGTGGGGGCTTTAGGGTTTAGGGGAGGACTCTGTGTCTGCCGGAGTTCACAAGTGTGGCCTGGGTCATGGCTGAAGTAGGCGTGAAGTCGCGAAACCCTCACCCGAAGCCCCATATACAACTTGTCCATCCCTGCAGGCTCATGCTAGCCAAGCAAGCATGATTGCACTGCGTCTCAGACTGCAGTGGTGGAAGCTGTTTTGGACCTCGTGCTCAGTTCTTGACACCTCCCTGTGATGTGACGCACACCTTGCAATCTGGGACCCCAAGCATGCTGCAAATCCTGAGTGACTCAGCACATGCATCACAGGCTATGCTCCGACTCGAACCGCAAACCTTCACGGCTCCGCTATCCATCGCTGCAAGCATGCTAAGTAGTTGTCGTGTTAAAACTACTGGTGATAAAGGAATAACAATAAACACAGTACTCGGAGTGACCAATATTGAGAATGATGTCGAATCGCCCCCACAACCAAACCCTAAACCCTAAACCCTAAAACCCTAAAACCCTACAACCCTAAACCATCCCTGCCTCTGGAGCCGCATTTCCGGGTGCAGTAGGAACGGGAGCCAGCTTCCCATCTGGCCGATATGTCCTGAGGGGTCTCTTAGAGCCAGAAGCCATGGTTCGAATCTCTGGGAACCCAAGGAGCCTTTGCATCTTCCAGCACGTTAGGGTTTAGGGTTTAGGGTTTAGGGTTTAGGGTTTAGGGTGTAGGGTTATAGGAAGTTGTAGTGCACTATAATGTATTCATAGGATAATGTATTAATTAGTATATTACAGTATACCATCAGCCCTGAATGGTTTCAGCTGCCAAGTATGCAGTGCGACCTCCCTGGGAACACCTGGAAACAAATCCGACCGCTTCGGCTTTCCGGGCTTCAGGACATCTCCAAGAACCGTTCCAGACATATCTTTCAGAGAGTTTACGTCCCGGGGTTCAGATTTTTATTGCGGGGATTCCAAGCCACAGAGTCTCCCAGCAGCTTTGAAACTACTTCACACCCTCCCCGAAGCACTCCGACCAAGTCTCGGCATACCAAGGAACCTTGGAGCAAGGAGAAGGTGGAGCTCTCTGTTCTGGGGAAGGTGGGCGCATGCTGCGTTCCATGAATGAGTGCAGGGGAGAAGGAGGCTCCAAGACGCATCTCAAGGAGTCACCTCGCGATATACTCATGTCTTCAGTTGTTGAAGACTGAAACGAAAGTGCACGTCTGTTGCCCGTCCAACAAGACTTCGGCCTAAATCTTTCGCTAAAACCTGTAGAATGTCGTCACGGCAGGTGCCCTCACTCTTGCCGCCGAGCACACACTGCATGTGCCATGCTAGTCCGGCCTGTTCTAATGTGTTGCCCTACACCAATACTCCCATTTCAGCCAAGCTGCGTGAATCTCAGAGATCTGTGGCTGAGGTCTTGCAAGTCCGCCTCGATGCTAACCACAACGCCTGGGCTGGGCAATCGAATTTGGACGTTGTGGCATGGGCAACGTGGAATAAAGAGTTAACGACATCATCAACTTCTCCTGCAGCAGTTTTGACTTTATGCAACCTCAGTCATAGCGGCATTCGTTGTCGTCGTAGTTCCTGTCGTCGTCGCAGTAGTAGTCGTCGTAGTAGCGGTAACAGGTGGGAGTGGCGGTGGCAGTAGCAGTCGCAGTGATAGTGGCCTTATAGTAGCCGCTGGCAACAGAATCCGCGAGTAACCCTTATAGTATGCTCCTTGGGGTTCCAGTGCACCCACCCTTCCACTTTTAGCTCAAGCGTCGGTCGAAGACTTTCATGTTGATGCCTTCGAACTTTGTGCGGGGTCTGCCATAGGCCGTTTGCTTGTCCTTGGCTTGGGGCAGAGGTTCGGGGAGGGCCGGGGGATGGATGGGCTTTGAGGGTTCCACGGGGAAGGGGCGCAAGTCTTGTGAAGACTAGGGCTGCCATGGCGGCAAACTTGAGGCGCAAAGAAGGAGAGCCCTCGCTAGAAGTCGTGCACTGCAACTTCTCCCACCTCTCCAGAATATGACAAGCAAGCTGGCGTTTATTGCAAGTACCTTGAACCCAACCCCAAACAGGCCCACACCCTTGAAGCCTCAGTCGCCTCATCTGCTTGTCAGTTGGAACCTAACCGAAGTTTGGATTTTGTAACCCCGGCATGCAAAGCCCCAAACGAACCGACGGGCAAGACGAAATGCTTTCCTCGTCCAAAGTTTCCCCGTGCAATGCCACTCTGAAAACTCTCTTGTCCGGGGCTCGAGGATGAGCAACCAGTTCCTCAGATTGTGCTCGGGGCTTACACTCACAAGGGCCAGTGATTTCAGAATTCATGCGTTGCGGAATGTCTCTCTGCGCTGAAACGATATGGTGACACCGGAATGCTTGCTCCGGCTTTTGTTTGCCGGCGACTATAATACTACTACTACTACTACTACTACTACTACTACTACTACTACTGTGACTGCCACTGCTACAACTACTACTGCT